ATTCACATAAAATATGATAATTGTGTAACTTAATGTATAATTTTAAAATTACATGTCTATATACTTGAAACATATTAGGTTAGATATCTCTTTTTAAAAATATTGTTATTTATGATTATTTCAGTTTATGGATATTGCATATTAATAAAACTGAAACGAATAATAGATTGAATCAAATTTTATCAATATTTTACCAACCCCTATGTTATACATCATCTCGTCCCTATAATACGGTTTAGATTTACTACTATCTCCAACAAATCACTATAACTATAGAATATAGTAACTGTTCAGTGATATTTTATTTTATAGTGGATAACAGAGTGTTGAATTCTCTAAAATATTATTATTTGTGATTATTTCAGTTTACGAATATTGCATATTAATAAAACTGAAACGAATAATAGATTGAATCAAATTTTATCAATATTTTACCAGCCCCTATGTTATACATTGTCTCATCCCTATAATACCTTCTATATTTAATACTATATCCAACAAATCACTATAACTATAGAATATAGTAACTATTCAGTGATATTTTATTTTATAGTGGATAATAGTGTATTGAATAAAGAAATAAATTTAGAGTAAAAAATATAATAAATTTTAGGAACAATTTGAAAAAAAAAATCTCTATTTATAATTCAAATTTTGAAATATACACTTCTATTTATTTATTTTGAAAATACATTTTAGTAAACGTGAAAGGACATTTTTCTGCATACTTCAACTAAAACTATTTGTTTTAATAACTAAAGTACAAAGTTAATATTACTATTATCACTATTGTAAAATCACACTTGAAAATCGTAAGAAATATTTAAAAGTTTACCTCTGCAAATAATTTTATAAATCATTCAAAAAAAGTTGTACAATAACTCTCAATCCTCACAAATAATTCTTGTTCACCCAACATATACTATTTTGTTGACGGGATGAGGTAACCCGCCTAGCAAAGAACCTTGGGGGCCAATTGTCATGCTCATGGGTTCGACACCAGGTGGTGGCGAACTGCCTCTTCCATGTCACTAAAATGGTACTAGGCTTAGGTCCAGGTACAACCCTCCCGGGTGAAATGGGCAGCTGCCTGACCGGATCCAAGGAATAACCTACGAAGCAGGGAACCCTGGATTATCAAAAAAAAAAACATATACTATTTTGTTGCATTCATTCTCTATCAACTATCAAGCCATTTTAATGACTACCGAAATTTAGATTGGGTAAAAGTTGGATTGTTATTTATTTTTGAAGACGTAATTTATTTTAATGTTCTTTCATATATAAAAACTAGGGTAGGCCCGCCCTACGGGCGGGATGTAATTAACTTGTGATCTAAGTTTTTATTTTCTTATATGATTTTATGGTTTGTGTTTTAAGTTTGTATTCGCAAGAGATGTGTATAATAATGATTTTTGTGTTTTTAACAAATTTTAAGTGATGAAATATATTATATTCATGTATCTTGTTCGTTTATTTTTCTGACTTGTTTTTGGTTTTATTAATTGTTGTCATATATATATTTTATGACATAAAAATATTTTAGTAATTATATTTCATTTTGGTTATGTTTTATAATGAAATTACATTTTTTGATCATCTTCAGATATGTATAACTAAAATTCTTTATTTTTTATTAGTTTTGTTAGAGATTATAAGTTCGTATGAACATGACACGATTTTCGTGATTGAAATGGTATACATTTTCTTAAATGTTTGCTCAACTTTTTTATACGTAGTAAGTAAATTTTAGTTTTACTGTTGTGGTTAGGTTTAATACTCAAAATATTGATTATTTTATATTTTTAATGTATTGAATGTACTTGTATTTTTTATTTCTTTTACATATTTATTTTTAAATTAATAATTTAAATAATTGAACATAAATAATTGGAAATCATTTGTGTAAGAAATCAGAATCAAAACATAATATTATTTATATATTATTATATTAGAAGGCTAAATAAACAATATTATCCCAATAGCTTATTAGGTTTTCAAAAATAAAATTCACTGGTTACGTTTTAGAAATAGTGGCCTCCTTATATATAATTAACTTATTATTTTATCCAATTAAACTTTTACATTATTTTATATAGTTTCTTTTAAATATTATTTTTAGTAAATAAGAAAAATAAATAATAGCTCGACCATGAAATTATTTTCCCTAAATTTTGGTAGATAGTAATAACATATTTACTAAATGTACTATACAATCAATATCAATTAGGATTTTTTATAAAATATTATTATTCAGTTTCAGCGTATAGGTAGTGGCAGTTTTACTTATTCTATTACCTCATGTATTGTTTTCGTTTGTTATACCGAATAAGCTATTATCTTATTTATAAAATTTATTATGGAACAGAAAAAAACATAATAGAATATATGTATTAGTTTAAAATGTATCATGTGCTATAATTTTGGATCAAGATACATTCATTTATTGAATTATTTTGGTTGTTTGTGTGAGTACAGTTTAGCAATGGTATATCTTTTGTTTTGTATATATCCATTGAAATTGTCGTTGTTATTCTTTCTTTTAAAAAAGCCGAGATCCAGTTTGATATTGTGATTACATTTAGAGAACGTATTTTAGAGTTTTGTTGCGAAACTGAATAGATTTCTTCAGAGGACATGTAACTTATTTTAACGCCACCTGCAGTGACTAAAGCTGTTGGTTTAGTTAGAAGTGTAACTAAAGTCATGAGAGAGCTATGTGCCAGTATGTGTACTCCTGTAGATATCATCTTTAGGCTTATTGTTTCTTCACAGTAACAAAGTCATCCCCTTCGTCCTCTAACTCCTCTAAACATATAAGTGATCCCGTTGGACTGTGCTTCACCCTGTCAGATTAAACAACAGATTGAAAAAATAAATATTCTTCATTCAAATCTAAACTATATAACCTAAACCGATGATCAAACTTGTTCATTACTTCCAACAGTTTAACATTCCGACCAGGTGTGTCCACTTTGAACGGTTTCAGTTTCACCGGGAAACTCTATCAGACACGTGCTTCATATTTTTAGGTTCCTGACACGAATTTTCTCAAAAGATCACAGAGTAAATTGGAAAAAAACTTTTTTTGATCAGCTTGGAGAACAAACGCTCGGCTTTTAACGACGGACACATCGCTGTGGTAGTCAAGTAGACGTGAACACATTCACGGCCTTTGATATTGAGCCGAATAAGATCCTCATTTTTCTTCTAGGTCTTCTCCAAACGCCACAAACACAATCCAAAAATGGAGCTGCAACTGCAAAAGATGGAGAGAGAGTTGGGGGCCAAAAGAAGTGACAGATGTAATGATTCATACGGGGTAAACAAACACAATTACTTCCTCACTGACACATCCTTTTTGATGACTATTATCACGCCAGTAGAAGAACCAAATAAGTGATATTCAAATGAATAACTCATGAAATAACACTGCTTTTTATAATGGGATGATAACTTGAGTTTCTATCTATATCCTGTAAGCAAAATATCTGTCATTTTATGAATCTATGTTGACTTCACTGTGCAGGTTCCCAATATATCACTTATTATATATATAGATGTATATATCTTCAAAGACTCTGCTGCAGCAGAAGATGCAACGTTCTCCATTAACAAAAACAAAAGAACATTATTCAGTAATCAGGCTCATCTATTGGTAGAAAAATAGGAAGGAAATAAAACAACAAAAAGAAACACAGAACATGAGCTATGTAGAAATTGATAGATTGTCAAGAACCAAGTGATTAAGTTGCTAAATATCAGGAAAAAAAAATAAGAACCACTCAGAAACTAAAAACATGAGATTTGCAAACAAAGAAAGATAAATAACTTTAATAAGAAGAGTAAAACTTATCTGTTGTAGAACGTGGCCACAATAGCTGACGGTGGCTCTGTTAGACGAAAAAATCTAAAATCCATCAAACATCAAAAGTAGAAGAGCACTGTCGAACCGAAAATCAGAGAGAAAAACTTATGGGTCAGACATTTTTAGGGGATTAAGTTTTAGAAGATGAGTTTTCAAAGGATGAAAGCTAACCTTTTATACGCAAATGTCACCGACTAACAGATGATAAGCTCACATTGAAGGCAAGATCGTGATTGTGGAGTTAAAGCAAGGTTAAATGTGATGAATTTGTAACTGGATCCGTTTATATGGATGAAGAAGAATCGCAACCGACAAACCATACACGAACGTCGGAATCTCAACAGCGATAACGTGTACGGGGAAGAGTAGGGTTTCTGGTAATGGGCTGGATTTCCTTATCAAATTCTCAATTGCAAATAGAAAAAACCCAAACAATCCACCATTTAAATGAAACGGTGAGTTTTGCTCACCTGGGACACATGGCGCACGCTGGAGTACGAGATTTAATGACGTCATATGATGACGTGGGTTGATGAGAAGAGAGTATCTTCTTCTTTATAGTATAAGATATAGAACAGCAATAACCGTCATGAAACTTAACTTGATTGTACCAAAATCAGAGAAATTTAAAGTTCTATAAGTAATACACACCAGCAAACAAAAAATCAAAGAGAAGATTTTCCATCTTTAAAGAAAGATAATTGCAGCAATTACAGAACTATATACCAACATAAAAAAGAATATGAAGAATAAACACATGATGATAAGAAAAATCACTAGAATAATTAACCATCAAATCCACCTAGTGGACAAAAGGACGTAGCTGAGTATATTCTTTTATTTTCTTAGATATCAAAAATCACCAGAATAATTATAAATCTCAAGATTGGATAATTTAATCATTTTATTTACACAAAAGTGTAGTTTTCACAAAAGAAAATAGATATGTATTTTTCAAAACAAAATGTCATGCAGATGTATTTATCCAAATTTTCCCTAAAATTTAAGACTGAATTTAAAATATATTTTGTTGACAAAAAAAAAAAATCTATTTTAAGGTGGAAAAATAGAGTTAAAACAACATTTCATCATAGTGCTAATAATAACCAAGAACCAAAATTGCTGCGAAATTGAAACGGTTTATAGCTAACCGACCGGTCTACCAATAGTTAAAAGTTAAAACCAAAACCACATCCCTCATTATAAAGACAAAAAAGAAAAAACGAAAATATTCCGTTTTCCATCGTCGTCTTCGTTTTCACCACCAATTCAAAACACAAACCCTAACCTCTCGATTTCGTCTGCTAAGATCACTTCAATGGACTCTCACTCTTCACACCTCAACGCAGCCAACCGCTCCCGCAACTCCTCCCAAACCCCTTCCCCTTCCCACTCCGCCTCCGCCTCCGTCTCTTCCTCCCTCCACAAACGCAAACTCGCCGCCACAACCGCAGCAAACGCCGCCGACGCCCTTCCCTCCACTTCCTTCCCTCCTTCCTCAACCGACGACCTCGAAAGCATCTCCGCCCGCGGAGGAGGAGGAGCCGATTCCGACTCAGACCCCGATGAGTCAGAAGACGCCGTCGTGGACGACGATGAGGACGAGTTCGCTCCCGAGCCGGATCAAGACTCTTCTATCCGCAATTTTACCGCCGCTAGGCTCGATCCAGTTAACGGTTCGAGTCGTGGCGGCAGCAATAGTAAGATTAAGACGGAGGTGGCGACGGTGAAGCTTGAGGTTGGGGCTGGGACAGGTGGCGTGAGCTCGTTATCGGGGCTTGTGCCGAAGGATGAGTCTGTTAAGATATCGACGGAGGATGTTCAGACCAGTGGAGCTTACATTGCTAGAGAAGAGGCTTTGAGGAGAGAGGTTAACTCTTTTTTTACTTTATTTTTATGTTCTGTCTTTGAAAAAAATACATTGACTTAGGCTTATCTTAACGGACTGAATAGTAACAAAAATCTCTACATATACCTATGTATCTATAGGTTTTTATTACTATTTGAAACCGCACCGCAGTTCTGCTGTTATAAAGAATGATCATTTATATGTTGTGTAGTGAAGTTATACTTCTGTCTTTTAGGAACACGCTGGTCGGCTCAAGTTTGTGTGTTACTCTAATGATTGCGTTGATGAGCATATGATGTGGTATCTTTCTTTCTCTCAGTCCCTTACGGATTCTTAATCAATCTATTATAGAGGAATTTGTCTGAATAGTTTTTTTTTGTTCCAGCTTGATTGGATTGAAGAATATATTTGCAAGACAGTTGCCTAATATGCCTAAGGAGTATATTGTTCGTCTTCTCATGGATAGGTATAAAGAACATTGGTAACTAAAGTGATACATGAATTCTATCTAGCTGTTCCTTGTTGTAAGCATTCTGATATCTGAAACAATTTATGTTGTTTTTACCCAGGAAACATAAGTCTGTCATGGTCGTAAGACCACCTCAAGTTGCAGGTGGTGTCACTCATGTTGTAGGTGGTATCACGTATCGTCCATATCATAGGTACTATTCCCAACGTTCTTACAATAGTGATATTCTTAAAGATATTCCTTGAAATTTAACCATATATAATATGCTCCTTACACAAGACTGGAAGCGATTAGTATGTTGACTTAGTATAGAGTTATTGAGCATAGATTGTTTTTAAATCACTTTTGTAATTGTATAATGTGTGTCGCTGATAAAAAAAAAAAGATATATAATGTCATAAGTAGCGTGATTACAGTCTTGGCATACTTATTTAACTTCACTGTGTTACCTGGGATTCAGTCAGCGGTTTGGAGAAATAGCATTTTGTGCAATCACCGCAGATGAACAAGTCAAAGGTTACGGTACCAGATTGATGAACCACTTGAAAGAACATGCACGCAATGTCGATGGATTGACGCATTTTCTTACTTATGCTGACAATAATGCTGTTGGTTATTTTGTCAAGCAGGTTGGTCTAATTCATCTTCTCTGCTTTTTCAGTTTTTTCTGAAAAAATTCTGGCTGTTAAGTTGTATGTGTTAGCTCATCCAGAGCTCTGAGCGGCTCTATATGAGTCAAATCCTTCAAGCAGTATTTGCATGCGTAATATTTGTGGGCATAATCATGATGATTTTGGGTGTCTAATTTAATCTGTTACGTCTATTTTATTGTGCAGGGTTTTACTAAAGAGATTTACTTGGAGAAAGATGTATGGCATGGGTATGTAAACGATGTTATCTCTTAGTTTCAAACTGATCATCACCGTATTCAACATCGGTGCTGATCCATGTCTGAACGGAATATTCGTGGTCTCAGTTAAACTCACAAACCTTTGAATAAAATCTCTCTACATTTCCTAGCTGATCATGCTATCAGAGAGCTTCCGTATCACTAGCCCAAAAAATTTCCAAAACTTGGCTTTACATTCTTTTCTACATCTTTTAACCTACTCTTGCAAATAAAAAGCTTTGTATTTTCCCAGCTTCATTAAAGACTATGATGGTGGCCTCCTAATGGAATGCAAAATTGATCCAAAGCTTCCGTATACAAATTTGTCAAAGATGATTCGCCAGCAAAGGAAAGTAAGCCATTGAATATACCTCACCTCTGATGAAATAATTTCTTGAGCCTTCAAGTCGTACAGTTTATAATGGTTACAAGTATGAAAGCTTTTGGTGATTAAACTCTCAAGTCTGATAGACTCTGATCCCCGTTGTACTATTTATAATGCCAGGCAATTGATGAAAGGATAAGAGAGTTATCGAACTGTCAGAATGTGTATCAAGTAGCTGAATTTCAAAAGGTAAACATCAAAGGTTGCGTGTCTTTGTTGACTATTATGCATGTCAGAAAACTAAAAACCATAGTTTAATAAATGTGATAATTTCTGCAGAAAGACGGTGGAAGTCCTAAAAAGATCAGAGTTGAGGATATTCCTGGCTTAAGTAAGTCATGATTCTACCCCATGGTATTAGTGTTACTGCAGTTTGTACTAGTGGCTCTGCTCAAGTTGATATGCATGTGCATCGGGTAGCTATGAAGTTCCGATTAATATATAATACTTAATTTAGCTTTAAATATAGATTTATCTCTCAGGGTTAATATAGCTCTCTTAGTTGGCGTCATAAAAATGCATTGGTTTTAATCTGTAATACGTTTCTTCATGTTGTGTTAATACAGTTCAATAATATGCTAATACATGAATTATGAATAAATTATTACAGGAGACGCAGGTTGGACCCCAGATCAATGGGGGCACACGCGTTACAAATTATTCAGTGGTTCTGGAGATAATGTAACAAAGCAAAAGCAGTTGAACGCACTTATTCGCGTGCTTCTGAAGGTTGTGATAAGATTTCTTCCCTTGAATGTTTTTTATATGTTATTGCGATTACATCCCCTTTTAGTTTGACAAGCTGAAGTAATAATTGGGAACAGACAATGCAAGACCATTCTGATGCTTGGCCTTTTAAAGAACCAGTTGATCCTCTCGATGTCCCTGATTACTATGAAATCATTAAAGATCCCATTGGTAAGGATACAGTTCTGTTAAACACTAAATTACCATACCATACATCGTTTTGTTATCCTTTTGCTGTTCCTTGAAAGCATTATAGTCTACAAATTAATCAAGATATGGTTACTTTATATAGGTGAACGACCTATCGTTTTGTTCTGTTGTTTAGATAGATTTGATTGAAATAATTTGGTAATAAGGTAACTGCTCGTTTAAGTAAATAATTGTTTTAAACTTTGGTATGGAACACAGATCTGAAGACAATTGGGAAGAGAGTAGAGTCAGAACAGTACTACGTGACGCTGGACATGTTCGTGGCTGATGCGAGACGGATGTTTAACAATTGTAGAACTTACAACTCTCCAGATACCATTTACTACAAATGTGCAACCAGGTATTATTGACTTTCTCTTCCATTTTCCCCTCTTTCAGTTTCTCACTAATGAAAAGAAAGTGAACTTAGTTTGTTGTTTTCTCTTCTAAGGTTGGAAACACACTTCCATAGCAAAGTACAAGCAGCTCTCCAGTCTGGTGCTAAATCTCAATAGAAGATACTCTCGTTGGGAATGAGATGTTTTTTTCTCAAAAGCAAGTGTATTATATTATTTATTAGGTCGACATGATGATATGTTTAGGAGTAGTAGTAACATAATTAGACCCTTCTGAGTATGTCTTAGTCTTAGACCACCCACGCCACGTTTCTCATGCTGTTCCATTAGGTCCGTGTCTCCAATCATTTGATTTTTGCTTTTTAATCATAAATAGCACTTCCTCGTGCCAGTGTTTTCCTTAAATTTCAAGTTATCATGAGCAAGAAATAATGGCTAAATTACAAAACAAACCTGATCTTAAACCAAAAACAACAGTCCAAACCTGTTTATACTATATACCGACTCGCAATAATTCTAGTAGACGCTAGTCCAAATACATGTAAATTACACACAAAAATGAAGCTGTGGACAATCATTGTTAAGGTACCTAAACCCTTTAACAACATCAAAGACTCGAACGTCCAAGTTATATATGCATGTCTTTACAATTAGTGTGTACTTTTTATTAATACTGCTTCCCATGTGTACAACTCAGTTACTGTGTCGACATTCTCAACGTCGTTAAAACGTTTAGTTTTGGACAACCACAAAGCAGGTAGTTAAAATTTAACATTCTTCCAAAGCATATATAAATGGGTGACATGACATGACCCTTACAATAACCAAGCAGAGTCGCACTGTAATATTTTCTTTTAAACAAGATAAGTGTTATTTCAAAAATCACAAACCAAGGACTCAGTGTCGTGGTTAATGCTTGTTGTTCCAATGGGGTAGGGTTTCATACAGATTCGGGTTAGTAACAAACTGATTCTGCATGCCTTCACGGTTCACCTGTTCAGGCAAGAGATTCGCTCTCTCCACTCTCTGGTTTGGCGCCAAACCGGCACTAGAAGTAATCGGGATTGCCGATTTCGAAATGTGGTTAGAGTTGGGTGTGTTGTTCAATGGTGAGCTCATGTTTGGTCTCGCCCAATGCAAAGGGTTCACTCCTGTTACTCTTTTCACCGTTTCTTCTGCCATCTGAACCTGCACAAGGAATTGTTTATATCATTGCAATGAACTTAGTATCATAATCTTGGGTGTTGTCAAATGGAGTCACAAGAAGAATATATATGGATATATTACCTTTGTTCTCAAGGTTTCGATATCAGCTCTTAGAATTCTGTTGTCGACAGCAGCTGCATCACACTTATGATTCATGTCACCAAGACGACTGAGTAAAGTTGAATGCTCACCTCTTAATTGCCCTACCTACCAAATGTTAAAACTTTTCCTATACAAATAAGTCTAGTGAATGGCAAGACGGAAATTTGAGAAACAATAACAAAGACAACAAGAACCTGAGTATCAAATTCACTCATTTGTTCTTGCTTTCTTCTCCTGGAGCGCCTAGCTGATTCTCGATTCGAGAGCATCCTGATCAAACACCACATACCGAATCAAGAAAAGCTTAAAGAAATTTATAATAGACTGTATCTCTATATATATGGAGACTCGGAATGATGATAAGACACCTCCTAGCACGCTTGACATCAGTAGGATCTCCATTATCTGCGTCTCCATCAAGATCATCGTCGTCATCAGAATCATCTCGTGATGAAACACTGGTGGCTGGAACATATGTTTTCTTTGGAATGCTTGTTGAGGGAACAGATCTGACAGATGAAACACCGGGTGAAGTTTGTGGCACAACGGAGCCTAGAAGAGTCAAAACAACCCTGTTATTTTACACCCTGAAGAACATTTCATCCATGAGTATAAACCAAATGGAGAAAGAAAGCATGTAGAGAGAGATTCAGTAGAATGAAAATGATCATCGAGACTCAATACATATTAAGACCACCACATTGAATCTGAAAATAGCCGAAGCATGCGTACCCTAAATGCTAAGATAGTCAGATTCGCTCAAAGGATTAGCAGTTAATCAACCAAGTCATCATTTTCTACTGAAATTGAGAAACAAATCCCGTGAAAATGTTTTGCTCCCTAGGCACTCTTAACATGTAAATTGAAAACTATAAGTGGAGTGGCAAAAGGATGATTCATACTTGTTAAGATATCACAAGGAATCTGAAAAATAGCGAAAACATGCGGAACACTAAATACTTAAGACCGTCATCACATTCCACTCAAAGTCTGAGTTAAATACTTGGAAAGGTTTAGCAGTCATTTAATCAACCAAATCATCATTTCCTAAACTCAAAGTCTCAAACTGATAAACATATTTGATGAGAAAAATACAGAGAAAGGCTATAAACCAAGCAAAACTATAATGATAATAACCTTGAGCTTGAGGCTGATTTTGATTGCCAGATGAGACACTCAACGAATCTTCCTGATTAACAGTTCCCACCTGCGTAAAAACAAAAACAAAAAACAAAATCAATCAACACCAAAACACTAAATACTCCCTCCATTTCAACTCAGTTTCAAGTTGTTTTAGTTTTTTACACACATATTAAAAAAACATTTAATTTTACATATTTTCAAAATAAAAACACAATTAACTATACAGCTAATCATTTTTCAACCAATAGAATAACAAACATTAAAACTATAACACCAAACTTATTTTAAATGAAACAACAACAAACGAAGGAGAATTCATTTATGTTACATAGATTTTAAAAGACGTACACGACGCGCAACGGCCGCGGCGCAGGCAAGATCGAGCTTGCTCTTAAGAATCTCATGGTAGTACTGATCAGGATCCACCTCACGATTCTGGTTCTCTCGACGATGATGATTTTGCGGTGGTTTCTGAATCTCGATAACATCGGAGGTTTCTTCAACGGTTGAAAGAGAGTGGTGAGGTTGAACCGGTGGAGGGATTGCGTTGGTGGTTTGATCGGAACTGGACATTTCCCTGAGAAGTCTCTGGAAGGCCCATTCCGATTGGCTTCGAGTCATCCCGTCCGCCATGTTCTGTGCCGGCGGCTCCGGTGACGGCACCGGAGAGGTGGGTGACCAAAAGGAGTCGGTCAAATCATCGATTGAAAAGACGATATGCATCGCTGCTTTACCCAATCGCCTCTCTTTCTCTCTTTTTCGATTTTGTTTTTTTGTTTGGTCTTTCTCCATCTGTGTGTTGTCTTACGTGGAGACGGCATTTGTATTATTAATTGACACGTTACGGGAAAATGCACATTTAATTCCCCAAGTATTTGAAATCGGCAGTTTTAATACTCAAGTATTGCTCGCGCAGAATTATTCCCCAACTAATAGTTGACTGCGCAAAATTAGGAACGAAATAGTCAACCGTTAACTGATTAACGGAAAGATAACGGTTTCCGTCAACCTTTTAACGGTTGACTATTTCGTTCCTAATTTCACACAGTCAACTATTAGTTGGGGAATAATTCTGCGCAATAAATACTTGAGTATTTAATCTGCCGATTGAAAATACTTGAGGAATTTAAAACATCAATATTTTTTTTAAAAAAAATATAATTTAAAAGATTTTCAAGTCAGATACAATCAATATACGAGATTTTTACTTTTTGAAAGAGATTTTTGAGCTTTTACAATAACATGTACAATAATAAAAATAGTTATAGTTGCAGTTTATTGTTGATGTACTTCATGTTTATAAAATCACATATGGATGATTTCATATCATTTACGGAATCATATGTTGTAAATTAGATCTCTACTTTAGACTAGGGATGGAAAAAAATATCGAACCAAATGAAACCGAACCAACTGAACCGAAACCGCTCCAAACCAAACTGAACCGAGTTTAAACCGAACCGAGAAAACAATGTGCTTTTGTTATTATTTGAACACTAAAATCTCTATTAACTTTATACAATATACTTAAATCCTAACACTAACGATTAACTTTATTAACGCTTTTTAAAAATAAAAAAAATCTATTTACTTTAGTTAGCTTTGATTTGATTGTGTTCTTATAAAAATGATGATTTTTTAGATATTTTTTTTTCAGTTTTATTGTACATGTCATTGTAAATTAATTATACAATAATACTGAAAAAAATATCAGAAAATCATCATTTTTTTTATAAAAACACAATCAAACCAAAGTTAACTAAAGTAAATAGAATTTTTTTTTAAAAAAAAGCGTTAATAAAGTTAATCGTTAGTGTTAGGATTTAAGTATATTGTATAAAGTTAATAGAGACTTTAGTTTTCAAATAATAATAAAAGCACATTGTTTTCTCGGTTCGGTTTAACTCGGTTCAGTTTGGTTTGGAGCGGTTTCGGTTCAATTGGTTCGGTTTCATTTGGTTCGATATTTTTTGCCATCCCTAGTCTAAAGTAGAGATCTAATTTACAACATATGATTCCGTAAATGATATGAAATCATCCATATGTGATTTTATAAACATGAAGTACATCAACAATAAACTGCCACTATAACTATTTTTATTATTGTACATGTTATTGTAAAAGCTCAAAAATCTCTTTCAAAAAGTAAATATCTCGTATATATTGTATCTGACTTGAAAATCTTTTAAATTATATATATTTTAAAAAAAAATATTGATGTTTTAAATTCCTCAAGTATTTTCAATCGGCAGATTAAATACTCAAGTATTTCTTGCGCAGAATTATTCCCCAACTAATAGTTGACTGTGTGAAATTAGGAACGAAATAGTCAACCGTAAAAAGGTTAACGGAAACCGTTATCTTTCCGTTAACCAGTTAACGTTTGACTATTTCGTTCCTAATTTCGCGCAGTCAACTATTAGTTGGGGAATAATTCTGCGCGAGCAATACTTGAGTATTAAAACTGCCGATTTCAAATACTTGGGGAATTAAATGCCCATTTTCCCGACACGTTACTGCGTTTTATTGGAAGCTTTAACTTTTATCAAATAGTCAAATAGATATATACTGATTAGGATGCTTCATACGAAGAATGATTCGGCTGCTTACCCCCTTTAGCTTGATTATTGATTAAGTTAATTAACCGACCTAATAGAATATTTTTTTCGAAATGCATATGCCCAAAAAGAGAGTTCCAACATACGGAAGAGGATTATAACAAAATATACTACTAGTAGGATTTTTGTCTGAACCGGACCGAACCGGTTTTCTCGGTTTACGGTTCAGTACGGTTCAGTTTGGTATAGTTTTAAAAATTAATTCAGTTTTCGATTTTTGGTTCGGTTCGGTTTATGATTTTTTTTAAAAAATATATATTAAAAAACCGCAAAAATAACCGAATATTTTGGAAAAATTATACCAAAGTTAACCGAAAACTTAAAAATTTGGTTATTTTCGAAAATAAAATTGAAAACCAAAATAAATCGATAACCGAACCGAACTGAAATTTCATTCGGTTTATTTCGGAATTGTTTTTAAAAACATCGGTTAACCAAAAACCAACAGTTCAGTTAGATTACGGAAAACTGAAGTCACAGGCCTAAAATATACAGTACTAGACAGCAGCATCCGATGTATGGTTCAGTTTCTTCAAATTTTGAAATATATACAAATACACACAAAGCTAGTAGCTAAAACTTGAAAACTTAGAAAATCTATGCCGCCACAAAAGAGAGAAAGAAATAGTAAATTAAATCTATCTTACTATATATATATATATATATTAATTGTCAAAATCCAATGCAGAACGATAATTATACAAATTATTCAAGCTAATTGGAAAACAAAGATCAAGACATGTGATAGTTCACAAGTAATAAAGAGCAGCATACGTAATCCAACATAGTCAAATGTACATCTAAATAGAGTTGGTAGAAGAACGAGCCCAAGAGAGTAGTATTATTAATAGAAAGAGTTTCATTATTACTAATGTATAATGGTGCACACTTGTCTCTCAACCTTCCTTCTCTTCTTCCCTCGATTATTCTCATCTTCTCTTGTCTGCATAACAACAAACTCTCTCAGTTACATATATTTCACGAAAGGTAATAATAAAAAAAATAAAATTCACCTCTTGGTATAAAGAAGCTGGAGCCTGAATCCTCTTAGACGCATCAGCCAAACGTTTCAGTGGCATAGGGTCGTCAACAGCCGCTAAGTTTTCAGAAACCTATTCAACAAGTAACATAAGAGGCTTATTATATTACAACAGAACACATGTCAAGGAGTGAACATCAGACTAGATCGAACCAAACCAAACCACATGGAACCCTATCCAAAATGTTTCAAGCTAACCATAGTTCTACTTTGATGATTCTAAAATCCAAAAAAAACTGAAACAGAAAGCAAACCATATTTGATTAGTGCAACCAAACAAAGTTGAAATTTATTACATTTTATATACTTTCGTCATATATGATTAGTCAAACCATTAATTATATATTTTGGTTTTTTATCATAACCAAAAAACTCCAGTCCGAAAAGAAAGCAAAATCTTATCACTGCAAATGGTTTTTTTCTTTAGTTTGTATAAAACCAAACCTTATAGAAGTTGTATACTTTGTCCAAGGGATACCTGTTTTCGGATAGCTCCTATTAATAGGTTTTGGCATCTTGATGCGTCCACAACTTCCAAATTTGGACACTGGAGCACCAAACTCTCAGGTTGCAAATTGCTGCATGAGTTCAAATTCAAGTCCTTGAGCTCTGGACAGTTTAGGAACAAAGCCTGCATCAAAAGATCAAAACTATAAGAAGATGTGATTTAGAAGAGAACTCTTTGCTAGAGCATTGATAAGGAATCTCACGTCCAAACTGGAGCATCCCCACAAACTGAGTTTCTTTAGCCGTTTATGTTTAATAAACATCTTCTGATTGTAGCCTGATTTTTTTTGTGGAGTCGAACTCTTCTCTTTAGAGGTAGGGTTATCTGAAGTGGGATCAGACACAGTCATGCCACAATCCATAAGCTCAAGAAGAGGCAGTTGAGCCGTAGCAAACTGAATGCCACCTGCAAGAGTATTCAGTGTAGAAGAAAATGAGAAACCAGTAAATATGAAGAATTATTATATATGCAAACTAAAGATCAAGAATTTACTTGATGTAATGTTGGGACAAAGAGCAACAAGTAATTTTGAAAGTGTATCAGGTAAGACATCGCAGATCATCCCAAGGCCAGTATCAGTAATGCTGGAACTATAACCAACGAAAAAAAAACATGTCTCAACATACGCTCTTCATGTGCAACAAACACATTGAACCATTAGAGATATAGATATGATATACTGAGCAAGAAGAAAACATACCCACTCAGATCAAGCAGTTCAAGGTTTGTGTAACTTGAGGAAATGGCGGCTACAGAAGCATCAGTAATATCTATCCCAAGAACTAGTGACAGCATTCTCAAATCCCTGGACAAAAATAGAAACTTACATCATTGATATTTGTACAAACAAAACCAAGACAGGAAACAGAGGGGTTGTACAAACCTGAAATTCACAGCAGTAAGAGCAAGTACAAAAGTGTGTGAAAGCTTCAGAGAGGCTATGTGAATCTTCTGCAATCTAGTGCAAGTCCTTCCCAAACCATCAACCATTGCTACAAGATCAGTTGAATCTTCTTCTTGAAGAGAAAACTCAAGTGATAACTCTATCAGATTTGGACAGTTAAAGACCTGAAAATAAAAAATAAAACAAAACATTTGTAGTTTAGATATATACATATACAAATCATCTTCCCAAACTTTGAAATATGGAACAAAAAAAAAGGCGTAATTCAATTTACCATCTTCGAGAGAGAATGAATATCCGCAAGCCAGATAGTAGATAAGCTTGATGAAGAGAGTGAAAACCCTCCTAAACTAGAACACCCTTCCATCTTAAGGCTTCTAAGTCCACGTTTATTAGAAACAAAGCGAGCTAACTCATCCCTATACATACAACAAAACAGAACAATCAAGAAAAGAACAGAAGCAAGCCTATGATGCATCACAAACCAAAGGACATATGAACTAAGACCAACCAGAGCCAATAGTATCTATACATTCATACTTAAACCGTTTGTTTCATACTGAAATTAACACATAGGTTTCAAGACCATTTTTTACCCAGAGATCCTACTAACAGCTGCACCACAAGTCGAAATCTCCAAAACCTCAAGATTAGGGCAAGAGAAAGCAATGCAGGCCAGAGTCGTCGCGTCAAAATCACTGCAAGATAAACAAGAACATTCAATCAGAAACATTAAATCGCAATTAATACATTAATTATTGATTTTTTTTTCTTAATAATCCACCTGTCGATTAGAAGAGAGAGTCTAACGAGAGCAGGACACTTTTGCAACAAAGATCCAACGTAACCAATCCGAGCCCTCTCCGGAACCCTAATCCTTAACTCCTCAGCAACTCTCCACATCTTCCTCGCTGTCTCTCTCCATCCCTTACAAACCCTAGCCGCCATCAGTAAACCAGAAGGAGGAAGCCTCTTAAGCACCTCCCATAGCCCCACCGCGTTAAACCTCCCCGGCTGAACAACATCCAGATCCGTCGACGACGCATCCTCCAGATCAGGCGGCGGCTCATCGAGGGCATCGACTTCGTCGAAGGATAAGGCGCGGCGAGGGAGAGTGAGAGAGTGACGGAGCGAGGGAGGGTGGGGACGAGTGGAGGAGGACGCGGCGGCGGAGATTGAGGTGGGTAGGGGTTTTGGAGCGGTTGGAGTGGCGGGGAGGTCGTCGAGAGGAGAGGGGAGGTGGCAGAGGTGGCCTTTCTTGGGTTGGCCGCAACGGCTGCAGCTGTAGCTTCCGCGGTGTTTTTTGAGGCGTTGGGATTTGAGGGCGGCGGAGATGGCGGCTTGGGCGGAGGTTGGGGAGATGTGAGGCTGAGGCTGCATCGTTGGAGGTTTTAGAGTGAGAGTGAGAGAGAGAGGTTTGGGGTGTGGTTAGATTAGGGATAGAGAGATGAAAAAGTTTAAAAAAAAAAAAAAGGAATAAGGAGGAGGAGGAGGGAAAGGTGGGGCGGGAGATGAAAATGGTGTTTTTCGCGCGACTGTTTTCGAACACACTGAAAGCAATGTATAAAAGTTACTTAAAAAGCAACGTAACCGCTCAGCTAGCGAAAAGGGATAGGTGATCAAATTACTTATTCACCCTTGGTTTTCCTAATACTGCACGTACTGTATTTACTTGTTCGCCCCTCAAGCCAATAAGGAGTCATCAATGACTACTTCTAATAAAAAGCAAAAAACCAAAAAAAAACAAATTCGACCCAAAAAAAAGTAAAAAGCAAAAACAAGAATCATTAGTGTTATATACAGTAAAGGTTAGTTACAATATCATTTTGATTCATGTCGAGATTAGCAATAAATACATTTATATTGCGTTATTTCACCAAAAGTTAGTCATGGAAAGAAATCGCATTATCGTGCAAAACATTAATGTACATAGATCTTTTTTTGACTAAATAAAGTATAAATCTTTTAATAAATGCATTTTATATGTTTAGTTTCAATTTGGTGATAAAAAAAATATTTATCTATAAAAGGAAATGTAGTTTATTGTAGTACACTATTACTGTAACTAGGGGAGGCCCGCGCTACGCGCAGGGCGTGATTGCTATGTAGGCAATTTTTATTCCATTTTTTTATTTGTCAACTATTTTTTTGTTCGTCCTTCATTTTTTTTTATATATGTATTTACATTCTTGGACCATTTATACTTTATACTGTTGTTTATTACTGTTGTTTGTTAGTGTGTGTGTTTATTGCATATTTTACATTTTGAGACTTATTTCATAAAGCATATGGTTTAATATTATAAGTTTAATATTCTTTATATTCCAAATTCATTAATACATATTTTGAGATTTTAACATTTTGTGCGCATGGTTTGTAAGATCATATTTTGGTTTTTATATGGTTGTAGTTTTATTTCAGTATACTTAATCCTTAAGTTTGTGAATAATTATTTTCGTTGTTAGAGTTTATCATTTGTGTCAACAAAACAAAACTATGGCATTTGTTAGAAATTATCATGTGATGTGGGCTTAGTTCTTGAATTTTTCATATTGGTACGGAAGTTAATCCTTTTTTTTTTTTCTTGGTGAGTTTGATATGATATGAAACATTCTAAAACTTCAGTATATATAGCACTCGATGTCAGTATTAATGATAATTAAGTCTGGCGATATATAACAAATGTGGTTTATTAATCAGTGTAAGTTGCTATGAGCATGCGTTGATTGTTTTATATATTTTACATATATGATTCTAGTAGAAAGATTAAACGGAATATGTTTATTTAATTAACAATTTCATAAATTTTTAAAAAATTTCAGAGCTTTATATATTATAATTGTTAAAACTAATATTTCGATTTATTGTTGCTTCGTGAAATTTAGTTGATGTTATGTAGTATTTTACAATGTTACTAAAATCTAAATTTACAATATTTGCTATTTGGTCACTCTTTTAAATTATAATCACAAATTAATCATAATTAAGAAATTACGAAATATATAATTTTGATCATAATGTAGTAATTTATTAATTATGAAACAATTTTTTTTTTTTTTTTAGTAAAGAGATTAAAAAACTCGATTTCATATTATTGAAAACAATTTATTAGTAGTCAAAATAAAGTACTTATGAGTAGAACATGACATCAGAGACCGGGAGATCATTTCTCCTAAAGTTCGGTACATGTTATTTTATCAGATTGTCTCTCTACATAGAGGACAACTTTCGTTGATTTTGACCCAATTAGTGATACATTCATGATGATAAATGTGACCACATTGCAATGAATTCATATCTTGACCCTCTGAAATCATGTCCATGCATATGGTACATTCTTCGTACTCATCTTTTGTTGTTTGGATTGCCATTTCAGATTCTAAATCTGATGCAGCAGTCTGTATCTCCATCATGTTTACCGAAGGAGGATTAAAATGAGTCAGATGTAAAATAATGTTTACATTTGTTTGTTCATAGTTGTTGAGAGACGAAACAACTTCCGATACGTATCTCGACGTTTTCTCAGCAATTCGCATGCACAAATAAGTGCTGATGTTCTGACATATGAGCGTATATTGGAGGATTGTAAATGTTGATTCCGTAAGGGATCCAACATTTGTAGTTGCAAATTCCAGAGGAATTGAAACGTTGTCTTCATTGGTCTTGAACCGGTGGATATTGATTGTGAGCATCCTTGTAGCACCATATGTCGCATGATGTGTTTCTGTTTCGAAAATTAGTGAATAATCTTGATCTGGTTCCATTTTTATGTAAAGGGACTTATTGATAGATTGCTGTAATAGAAAACATATATCAACATATTTATATGTTTTTTTTGTCTGCAGTTACATGTGACATTTATTCTCGGTTTAAAACTGATAAGCCATGAATAATGTGGTTGTTACTATTAAGCGTTTTAATTCTTATTATGTTCATTATTAATGTCATTGTTGTTACTATTATTTTAATGTCAATAATGTTCATAAAATATTATTTGTTTTTGTTACAACTATCAGATCACGTAAACGTCTAATATAATACAATAAAGGAGTCATAGATTTGTAAAGCATGATGCAGCATAATATGTATAAAGCTTCTCCACGAGTTTAAGCCATTTATTTGATTTTTTTTTTTTTATATGTTTGGTATGTTGAGTCTTTATACTTAGATTAAAAACATGTGCATACATATGAGTCTTAATCATATTGAGACTTATATGAATATTTGAAAAATAGTTTCAATTGGAGTACACAGATGTAACGTTACTATATTTCTATACAGTTCTAATTTTTTATGAGTTCTTTGTTTGTTAATATATTATAAATGATAGATATCTTATGTTAAATTTATTCGACGAAATAAGATTACCAAGCCAGGGGTTTGCATATTTCATAGCTTATATAATCTTTGAGACATCAGGCTAAAAACATATCTATCAAGTATATTCTGGCATACCTAATGATGAATATACTGACTTGAGGGAAAATAAGAAATCGAAATAAGTGTAAATGAGACGTGCTTTTTCTTATATTAGATTTAAAATGTGACCAGATCAGTGTCACTCATTATTGATCAAAAAAGAATAGAACGATAACGATACTAACTATCCTCTCTTAGCTATATAGATGACAAATTTTTCAACTCGTGAATGATAGTAACAATCATTGCATAGATGACGTGCACCCTGGAGCTTGCAACTTGCCGGAGGTTTGAGTTTGGTCATGTTCTTCACGTACGCATCCTCCAACGGGACTGGATACACATCGAGGGTTTTTTTAATCTTGATCCAGCACCGGGCGGATTTAGGCAACGTGTTTTTCCAGTTCAGGCTATCTAAGATCTTCTTTCCCTCTTTGATTTTTCCATTACAGAGAAGTAACAAACTACACATATACGTACCTTTGTTGTATTTTCCAGATGCAGAAGCACGAAAGTGGTTGAGTGCCTCAAAGGTTTTCTTGTAAAGGAAATACTTATTTATACCTTGAATATAGTGCGCTTGTGGATTGTTGAATTCTAAACATGACTCCATCAAGCGGTCGTGTTGGAGTACCATCCGCAACGGGTAAGATGCAAAATACTTGAGCGATAGGGTGTGGAAGTATGTCTCCATCGCCAAGTTCTCGATGTCAATACCTGATTTGCTAATGGTTAGATTTACCGCTGTCTCAGGTTTGATATCATCTGGGACATCATTTGAATCTTGATGTGAAGATGGTGGTGAGTCGCTGGAAGACTCCTTCATGTGACGTTGCTTGATAAGAAGGGGTTTCGTGATTTTGAGATGAAGTTGCTGTGTGGTTTTGATGAGAATGGAGTGGTAAACTATATGTATATATATATTTTTGACAGCGGGTGATTCGGTCAACGATACTGATTTATTAGTATTTATGTTTTAAGATTCTGTCAAAATACATTGAATATTTGATAGAAATCATATATATACAATTAATTGTGCGTATCTAAGTTCAAATTTCAGAAACGATCTAATTCATGTTCTGACAGAATTACAAACTTGTATTTTTTTAGTTCTAGCTGTTATGAATAATTAATCTCATTCTAATAGTTAGGAACGTTAAATTGGTCAGATATAAATTTGGTTTGACTATTTCCTTTTTATGTTATTTATCAATTATTGGTATGATCCTCTAATAAAATTATGTTTTAATGATGTAGTACGGTATTATATATCCTGACATCATTTGTAGTATCCATGTTAATATCTTCAACGTATAAACATGTTTCATCAATTGTTAATTTTAATTTAATATGCACATTAAATTCCCGGGGTTTTCACCATTCTGTGTGAAATAGTTTTTTGATAATGAATGAATAAGAGACATATATTATTTCATGAAGCTTAATCACTTATGATATTTTGTAAAGTGTTATTTAATATCTTAGTATTTTGGATAAAGTAAAAGGAGGTACAGAGTATTTGTGCTTCGCGTTACATTGGATCCATTTTTTTAGGAATAATCCGTATTATCTAACTGCAACACGGCAAGTTGGACACGTTAATCTCATGCGAATCCAGGATACAATGCATTTGTGATGGAAGACATGGTCGCAGTCTAGCGTGTTGACAGTACCGTTTTTCCCAAATTGTTCAAAGCAGATGGTGCAGAGATCATCTTCTTCATCGGATGTTGCATCCCTGACGGTCATCTCGCGGTTGATAGTAGCTATGTCAACGTCAAGTCTGTGGATGGACTCAGGGCTGTAATCTGTTATATTCACTACCACGTCGAAGTCTGTATCTTGGTGTTCGGTTAGATTAGAGACAATAGCGTGAACGTACTCGTTAGTACGCTCTACGATGTTTATCGCGGCGGATAAGGTAATGTCATGATATGTTAGCATGTGTTCCATGACATCAGTGGTTGTGTCGGTGAGATATCCAAGAGTGGTGGTCAATAATCCCATAAAAATGGAAACACATGTTTGATTCGTACGTTCACGTTTTATGTTGACAGTTATTCCTTTTTTTGGGACCGTGGTTGTTGGACTGATGTAGTGGCCAAAGGCGAGTGCATAATTCGGTTCTGCGTTCATTGCGTTTTAGGTGGTTTGTATATGAAGTATATTGTGTTTGGTATATGGTCACTATAAGAACGTACATGTATTTATATAATGCAAAAAGTAATTTTAACGTTAGATCATAAGCATTATAACAGTTTTTAACTTGATGTTGAAAATTTATTAAAGTAATGGTCAATTTCATAATATCTATTCAGTTACATTTGGAGAACAGGTTTTTTATTGAACCAACGATCTAATCGTAAATATCATTATATTAATATATCTAATATACTATATGCAATATGTTAACGTCCAAATACTAAGCTATTACTTTATGAGGAAGTTCAGGTTCAGACTTCTTTTTGTACGTCATTTGACACAGTCAGAAAAAAAGCTTCGTTGCATTGAAGCTGCAACGGACTTGCGTTTATGCTTTGATTTCGGAATCCTAATTAAAAAACCTTTCCAATAAATGATCTATGTAAAACTACGACAGAAGCTTATGTTTCCTCGTTGGACTCATGCTGACTATTCTTTTTTATTTCTTATTTGTTTTAACATAATCGTATGATAATAATTACAAACAAATTGAATATGAAATAGTGGAAAATATATATATTATGGTACATAAATTTTCTGTAGTTAAATATGTCAGTTTGCGCTCCAAACGGTGGTTCGTCCATCAAGAAGACATGATTTGCAAAAGTATATAAACTAAAGAGAAACTCATTAATTATGTGTTATCTAAAGTCTGTTCAAACAATAATATATACTTAGAAGTTAAAGTCTCATACTTGTATAAATTATCAAACTCGCTCGCATGTTCATAGTAAGTGTTATTGCAACAATCAAATATACATCAATATCATTACAAAAGTATATTCATGTTCTTAAATATGATATGATTTAATTCAAACACCCAAGGAAGATTGTACGTCATGTTAGTTAGACACTTAAAAGGGTGCTTTTTAAAAAAAAATAGTATTAAGCTTGTACAAATCTCGATAAAATTCAAACGATGCGTAAACCATCCTTTGCGGTTTCGATTCTACCAATAGTACCGGGTTATAAAACCGGTTTAAATGACGGATAGTTACCTAGGAAATTAAGACAGTTCAACGGGTATATTGTAACACACAAAAAAATAAGAAGCAATCTGCAGATTTAAGTCTTTATGTTATGTGTTCTTCAAACAGAGTATAATGAAGAGCTTATTGCATCGAAGTCAAAACCATACTCCAAATTAACATTCCAAGTGGCTTACATAAGTATCTGAACACACGTAAGAGATACTCATACATAATTTCACACTTCCTCTATTAAGATTTCAAGTTCTCGTTAATGGATGGCAAACTTCACACTGATAAACCTCACTGCAATCATGTCGATATGGTCAGATGATAGAAAAAAGTCAAAAAAAAAAACCATTATTTCATTAAGATAGTTAGCACCACCTGAATCTCGATGGTACTTAGGCCACTAAATATCTCTTTGTATACTATATTTGTTACTCCATCTGCACTGTCTGAATAGAAAGAATCATCTAGTATCTTTAGACCTTCAGGGGATGTAACTCGAGATAAAGCTACATACAGCTGGCCATGGGTAAAGACTGATCTTGGGAGATATAAAGCAGCTTGCTTAAGGCTTTGACCTTGACTTTTATTAATCGTCATGGCATAGCATAACCGCAGTGGATACTGACGACGATAGAACGTGAATGGCTCCAAAGTGTCCAGTGGGGTGAGCTGAATTCGGGGGATCAACACTGTCTCGCCTACCTTGGTGCCAGTTAAGATTTCAGCCTGTACTACCCTGTCTCCTAGACGCGTGACAATCATCCGGGTTCCGTTACATAAACCATATGCTTGGTTCAGATTACGAAGCATCATCACTGGAGCGCCTACCTTCAAGGACAGTTTGTGGTTGGGCAGCCCTGAAAACTCAAGTGAATTCAGATACTCTTGAGTATAGTGGCTAGTCCAATCATCCTCTGGGGTAGCTTCAAGCTCTACTGAATCGGAACTCAAATAATCTTTAGGCTGATACGGGACCTGTGAGAGCATATAGGCATTCAACTCATGGACAGTACTGTTTGTAGGTGTCAGCACTGCTCGCTCTGTTAAGTAACTCTTGTTCCTAAAATTATGAACAAACTCCGGATATGCCGCAGCTGCCAACGCCTCGTGAGGTTTATCTGTTGCAGGGATCATGAAGCTTTTGTTAACAACAATTCTGTCACCATCATCGTCTTCTTTCTTAATAGAAGATACAGTATCAGCCTTCCCGTCACCAACCTTCAGTATCCATTTTGCGAATTCACCGTCTCCTTCTTTCAATCGCATGTTCATAGATAGAGTATAAACTTTAGCACTTTTCCACAAATAAGATTTGCTGATGGATGCAAGGACTGTGTCTGTTCTTTTCCCTTGAGGCACTACTGGTAATATCTGTCGGAAATCGCCTCCCAATATGACAGTCTTGCCACCGAAAGGTCTGTGAGCAGCTGATGGATCTGTTGGCGTTAGTAGATCACGGAATGAACGGTCAAGAGTCTCAAAAGCTTGTCGGTATGCCATCGGAGCTTCGTCCCATATTATTAAATCTGACCTTGCTATCAATGACGCCACCGCCGAACATCTTGTGATGTTACACATGGACACATCACTGAGAGTCAGTGGCAATTTGAAGCGTGAATGTGTTGTTCGACCTCCAGGTAGCAGCAATGCAGCAACACCGGACGATGCCACAAGAATGACAACTCTATTTGTTGATCTAAGCCTTGCGATTATGGTTCTGTAAAGGTAAGTTTTACCAGTACCTCCTGCCCCATTCAAGAAGAATAACTGTCCATTTTTATTCTCAACAGATTCCAGGACTGCATTATATATTACTCGCTGTTCTGCATTTATTGTCTGAATCAGTTCCTCATGCGTCTCACTTTCTTTCTGAATATTGTAACTCAACTCCTGCATCAGAACTGTGTTGGAAATCTCTGTCAGTACAGCATCATCCGGAACTGGAATATCGGGATAATCTGCTAGAGATTGATTGTTCTCCTGCAAAATTTGCTCGAGCTCAATCAAAGTATATTGTTTGAGCTGATCGTCGCTGAGCTCAAGCTCTGGGAATCTGAATTATTTCCGCTTCAGATAGAGAATGTCCTCTGCAAGAAACTTCCATGTATGGTCCCAGAGTTTGAGTGGGTTAATTACGTGGCAGAAAAGTAATATAATCACAAACAACCGTCTCAGCTGGCGACCAGTAGCCCAATAAGATGGCTCCTCTATAGCATCATGCCACTCTCTGTCATCATCAAGCAACCCTCGCGCATAACATGCCTCTCTGTATTTCTTAAAAACCACTCCGCCAACTGTCTTTATATCGTCATAACACGTTGGTCCTCTAACAACATTGACCAAAAGTCTTAAGAAATATTTGTCCCCAGCAGCCGGACTGACGTAGACCACCCTTCCTATTGCTCCTCCTGTTTTCCTTGGTGTCCATAGTTTCCCTGACGTGTGGTAAATGAATCTAGTAGGGAGTTCAACGTATGTGAGCTCACGTGCTTCTTCATACATCTCACATGCCACAAACCAAGCAGTTAACATAGTTTTTTCAACATCTTCCTTTGAAATAACATCAGTCAAGTCTGCATCTTCGTCGAAGACAGTATGATGCTGACCTGGTAGATGTACTGGAAGTTTTATAACATTAGGCTGATTGTGGTGAATGTGAAAGGCAAAAATTCTCCATGAGGCTTCACACGCAGATATGTAGCGGCATTCCATATATCTTTCTATCTCATTTATCACACCACCTTCTTTTCTTTTCTCTTCCAAAAGGAACGTAGCTCGATCAACACCTTTAGTTATATACTTGTATAGATACTTGATCGCACCCGTCCGGAAACACCACTCGACATTGATATGGGCCTGATATTTCTTGAGGAGACCGAGGTTGTGAGCGACTACAAATTGGTTCCCGATCTCAATGTTATTCTTCAAGACTACACGTTCAGAATCTGATCTCCTTTTGTACTTTACAAAGCCAGACTTGTCTATATGTGTATGGTCTGAAAGTGGCTTCGGATAAGCTTTAGTACATTCTCCTTTGTTCATGCAAGGTGATGATGGTCGCCTTCTTCCACATGGACCATGCATCATATGACGCTCTACTAATGCAAAACCCTCAGGATCCTCAGCTTTGTCAGGCAACTCAGCTGATATAAATTGGTCAATCAATTCTGCAGTGGCTTCTCTCTTTATGCCTTCTAACCATAAAAGAATATGAGCATGTGGCAATCCCCTCTTCTGAAACTCAATGGTATATACGACTACAATGTTTAGAAAATAAACCAATAAAAAGTAAGAATCAGTTTCAGGTTTTGAAAATTTAATATAATGGAATTGGAGTAATCCTTTTAAACTAAGACGGTGAGTTAAAAACCTGCAGAAGTTTTAGGAAAGAAAACCCCCTTCTTGAAGTCGGAAACCATCTCCTCAAGCTTGAGTTTGAATAATCTACATTCAAGGTCAGGTCTGCTATTAGCAGATTTACCTCCGTACGTATTCAGGTGCTCTTTTAACTCCACCCAATTAGGATTCGCTGTGACAGTGATGAAGAGATGAGGATTTCCATACCACCGACATATTGCCATCGCGTCTTGATACTTCTCAGCCATATACCTAGGACTACCAGTGAAGGAAGAAGGAAGAATGATCTTCCTGCCTAGCTGTGATGCATCTGAATCTCCGCTTTCTACATCGTCACACACATTACTATACAATTCAGCTCTCAGTTTCTTTTGGTTCAGAAGAATAAATCGCAATCTCTCTTGCTCTGTTGCAACATATGCATCTACGATATACTGGTGCAGCAATCTGCCTCCCTTTATGATAGTCATCCCTTCTGTAATCCGAGTTTGAAGCTGGTAAGCATAAAACTCACGCATAGTCATGTATTCTCTTCTTACTCTGGAGACCTCAGGACCTTCATAAGGCATTCTTTGGTTATAACCAGGTTCTCCATATGGAAACAACAGTGGGTATTGGAGGCTCATCAGCAGGGGATGTTGATCACTTATCCTTTGTAATTGGGATGATTTCAGTTCTACAACGATGTCTCTTCCCACAGCGGTTGCGGATAAGTCCCCAACTATCAATCCACCAATCTCGTTCCCAGTTGGAAGATCATATTGACGACCTAGATTTGGTTGACTGACCAAAGTGATACTTAATTCAATAGTCCCTGTCTCCTTGAACCTATCACGGGCATGGCGAAATGTCTTGGCGAGATGGTTATGATCGTCCATCATTTTAATCAACTCAATGATAATACTGTCAGGAAGTGTCAAAGAGGATGAACCTTTAGTGAAAGTTCTCTTTCTGTTTTCCAACTCGTTATCAGTGTCAAAAATATACAACTGTAAGTATTCTGGCGTAGCACCATCCTCAGGAAGTAAGGACCCAATCCTATGAATAACATCTCCATTAACTCTGAATGAATATGGCCCCGATGTACCAGTGACACTGTGATCAATATTAGCACCCATAGATGTGAACGCCAAGAGACTATTAGCAACCCGGCTGTGAGATTGAAATATATCACTTTCAATAAGCTCCTTTAGAGGAGAGGGTGGTTCATGTACCGGTGGTAGACGCACTCTGCCTTGCTGACAACAAAGTGTGAACTGGCCTTTCCCTCCTTTCAGATCACCACCAACAGATTCCCCAGCCCAGAGTAAAGCACTACATGACGGGCATGATACTAACTCGTATCTGCTAATACTTTTTTTTCTGGATTTTCCTGAGCGCAACAAATCATAAAAAGAGTTTTATTCACAGCTTGAGACATCAGCTAATTATATTCTGTTGTTTTTATTTATTATGAATAGCAGAACAGAATGCCAACCTCTTATTTCAGTCAGATTCTTAATCCGAAGTACTCTCTTACGCACACAAATCGCCTTTCTAATAGACCTGGCTCTTCTAGCGGCATCTGCAATGTCAATATATTAACAGAAAGCTGAGTATCAGAATTTATCAAGGTTATTACTCAAACATATAATTACCCACCTGATGCTGAAATCCTAGATTGGGCATTTTCCGGAACTGGCCCGGAAACTCTGTCTAGTTCTGAAAGCCACCGGATATAAGACATATCAGTGTCTGCGGCTGAAGATGAGCATTCACCTTCAAGCAAAAAATAGTGTTGTTACGTTCAGGTGTTATATGATAGCCTTAGTGGAATACGTAAGTAATGTGTGTGATGTACTTGGTTGTATAGGAGGTCTTCCTCTCCTACGTTTGTTGTGCTGATCAGTGGGCGCTAGGTAATGGAACGTTAAAGAATTGTTAGCGTAAGTGTGAACTAATTTGCTAGATGATACGCGGTCATGAAGAAAGAGAGCATATACATCTCACCTCTAGTAGACGTCTTCTTTCTCTTCGTTGTTCTTACAGCAGCATTCGTTTGTCGAGCTTCAGCTGAACCATTAGATACAAATTATTCAAGTAAAACAATTAGCAGAAATGGTTATGGAATAACAGATTGTGATGTAGGAATGACATCGTTAAAACCAAATTATTAGCTATACTTGAGCAGTACGTAAACTAATATGGCCGTATATATAGCAACGTTTTTGAACGATTTGATTTGGGTGACATAATTACTTCTGACGCCAACCACCTCATGAAGTATAAAGCAAAAAAAAGAATGGTATCCTTCACAGAATTAGAACAGGATTGTTTACCGACCTGTCTCAGGGTCACCGATGACGTCTGCTTCATCTGTAGAATGGGTGAACGTGCTATTGTTCATTCCTCACTGTGCTTAATCTGCATGATAGTCCTGTTGTAGGGCAAGGTCTATAGTATGGCTTCCTAAGAGCTATGTAGGAAACTGGAATGTAAGAAATGCCGATACATCATTCTTTGTTTTTTTTTGTTTTATTATGTAATGGCAGTTACGAAAACGTAAGATTAAATTATTTATTTGTCAATTTAAATCTTACAATTTGCATGTTGGGTATGTCAAGAGCTGCATCACGGTTGGTAAAAAAATATGTGGTGTAGTCAAGTAGAGCGTACGGACGATGTTATTCCAACAATAAACTGTATACTATAATCAAAGGCACCACACCAGTAAAAAAAACGATTTTAAATCATCATATGAAGTAGGAACAAAGTAATTACGACAGAGAAGATTACAACAAACACTGTCACCTTGAGGAGAGCTCAATGAAGATACTTTCATGACACTGTTTTATACAGTAGGGGCGAGATTTGTAGTTTTATTCAAATTCAATGTGTCTCTGCTGACATTTCTAAATTAGAAGTCACGACCGTCCAGGAGTAGAGCTCGATGAAGATACTTTTTTTATTACATTCATTTGCTTGATCGCTTTCGTTAAGGATCCGGAAAAAAACCACGGGAATCAACGTGTATAACTCAGAGTATTTTAGTTGATCTTTTATTTAGATGTGTAAAAACGTGTATAACTCAGAGTATTCTGATCTTTTATTTAGATGTGTAAAACGTCGTTTTCGGATGTAGGATTCTGGTTTTGTTTTACTTTGGTTATGCATGGCATCTCGTAAACAATTGATAATCTGTATGCAGAAGTAAACCGTAGTTGGTAATATTACAAAATAAAAATTAATTAATTATCGAGAAAAATTATTATATTGTGGAATAAATCCAAATCCCATCATCAACTACTGAATGCGTACAAAAATTTAAGAATTGAACACCGATTGGAACATTCTGAACTCTCAAAACAAAATGGTTATAATGGCATATAAAGTAGCAAATTCATAAGAAAACCGAGATACGAAAACACACACTCTGTCCATCAGATTTTTTTTTTTAAAAAGGTACTCAACGTTGAGGAATCCTAAATCCAAAATGCATAATAATCAAAAGCAGAAACATCTCGATATTATTAGGGGAGCAAATCCATTGCCATTCGCACTACACCGTTCTTGCCTTCTTCACCGGCCCACTCACAGTAGCAGATCCTCCACTTTTGCTACCTCCACCAACTTCCATCTCACTGCTCACACAGCCAGTACCGTCACCCGCATTGTCCTTGCCACCATCAGCACTCTAACAAACATTATCATGTTAGACCATGTATTTTATACTAATGGTATAAATCATAATTTATACTTACTTCATCAACAAAATCAGGGCATGGCTCACGTTCACCATCGCGGAGGATCCTGGTGATGGTGAAGCTCTGATGGTTTGAAGTGAAGTTATAGGGTCATACTTTCACTTGAAAGGTGAACGACTTTCCCACCATATCTTTGACAAACTGAGGGAATTCAGACTCCTCCGTTATGTCACCCCCACCGACCTGATTGTAATTAATAACATTATAGCATCAGTACCAAACAGCAGTACCACTGAATTAAAATCAATGACCAATGAACACTTCATAATATAATGTGTCAAATATATTATCTTCATATATACTATATTTTATTTTTTTCGAAGTCACTAAGGGTATCAGACGAATCTCACTTGGTTATAAGAATATAAACATAAAATCTGATGATGGAAACATAAATTGATGGTAGATGGAGAATTACCAGTACAGTCGCAGCATCCTGGGCTCTCATGTTGAAGAGCTACGCCATCACCCCATCGAATCCAACAAACAGCCCTTCTCCAGTGTTGTCTGCAATTGTCATCTCCACGCGGTACCTACGGACCGGAAATTTATATTATCATGATACGCCATGTTGGCCGTACAACGCGAAGCTAGTTAAAACAGAGAGATACCGGAGGACGCCAACTGCATTGGTGTTGTTGCAAGGCAAACATGTCAATGACGAATCAGACCGCTGTAATTTCTTGAAACATTTCGAACAGGAGACATAGCACCAACCCTTGTCGAACTTGACTCCAGTGACGGTACCGGCACAGATAAAATCAGCCTCCTGCACAGTACATCACAGAATGACATCAGATGAGACATGATACAGCTGGCATGTGTTAAAAGCTTGATAACATACCTGTGATGCAGCGGTCAAGACAAAATCATTTAACTCAGATATACTGATCTTTTCCACCTTAGAGTAACTCTTAAGCAGCGTGGTCACTGGTTTGAGGCCGGTTTCTTGTTCCCCCAACCTATACGTAACAGGACAATTACAGTAAGTGTAAGAAGTATCACTACCTAAGAACGTAAATAATGAGTAAAATCTAAAAACCTGTAGAACAACTGTTCCCCTGCACTCGTTTCCTTGTCGAAATAGATATGTGTCCCAGACGTGGCGTTTAAGAAGAGCCGACCTGTAATCTCAATTTTATATCTCTAATACAGCAACATGTATCAAACAAAAATATACAACTAAATGTTTTTGTTACATACCTCCAACCATTTTTGGATTCACACTGGTTGCAACGATAACTCTGGGATCAACAACCATACTCTCCAGCTGCTTATGGATGTCAACAGCCTGAGCGTCAAATAGGCTCATAGTCACAGACGTATCACTGCATGTTAAAAATTAAAGTTGATATCAAAGATATAATTATTGTCATAATCATCAAAACTTATTATTATACAAACGCATGATGCAAAATCACTTACTTTTCCATCTTGATGGTCACCATAACACGGTTCTTCTCATGATGAGGCTCAGTAACCGTGTTCTTCACGGCGGTTATCTCACCGATAAGATCTGCATGAAAATTATGTTAGATTTTTCATACTTCAGTATGAAGTGCCCATTAGAATGAGTGAGAACTATATCACCTGGGAGTTGAGTGTTAGAGCTCACCAACCCGAGCATTTCGCTATAATTTCGGAAACGGAATGAATGAAGAGGAATTGGCGCAGACGCTTCGGCGATCTTAGTAAAAGAAGTTGCCTCGCTGAAGCGGATAAGCACGGGAGAATCTGAGAGACGATAGTTCTGACCACAACGGGTCACATCAAAACCGGTAAGGGAATATAATGCACCAGCTTCCAGGTTTGATTGATGTGTTGGGAGACGGTTCACATGCACAGTGGCCGGCACCATGGTCGACTAAACACAATGAAGACACAAAAATGATTAAACGTGAACAATAGAACATGATTATAAACTAATATATAAAGATATTAAAACCTTCAAACTATAACATACATGTCAAAAAAATTTTAAAATACAGATAATATTGTAACATATCAAACTAATAATGCAAAAATACATAATCTTAAGACAAACTGATACGATTATTATATTGTCACGGTAAGTATCTTTAGATAAAACTAATGTCAAACCATAAGCTTTAACTAAACTAAAGCCTCTAAAGCAACTCAACAGCCAATAGAACAAAATGATATTTGTTTATTTATCAAATAAACGTCAAATGATCGAAATATACAGATCGGTGCATAGTAATATATCATGTATCTCTACAATATGTAACAACCAACTCGTGAATGACGGACTAAGGTTAACAGATATGAATTCAATAATGATAAACAGTAAAGCTCCAACAATAAATCCAGATCGTAAAACCATACACATAACACCTTATAACGGATGTTTATTCTCACTATCATCAGAATATATCATAAGATCTACACATCAAACAGAATCCAGATGGATAATATATAAATCAAACGACCAAAATCATTGCAAGCTTAATCATTTTTTCCAGCACAAAATCGATTTAACACAACATAGAGGATTCAAACTCATCACCTGGGAATCCAAGAGGAGCATGTCCACACCCATAAGCTCTCCACCACGGCGGAAGTTCCTGGCTTCCCAGAATCGGAGCAGACGGACTTGGACGGTGGAGGAGGAACGTCCGGCCTGGAGATCGGATAAAAGAACTGTCATATTAGTCATAGATGAATTTTTCTGCAGAGTTTTAGTGCTTTGGGAATGGAATTAAGAACAGAGGAAATCACCATTTTATAGCGAACATCACATAAAGAGAGATAAATGTGAGAGTTAAGATGATTAGAGTATACGAATCGATCGCATCTGATCGTTTTGGACGAAGAAAAAAGTCTCGACGGCTATGAGACGGAAGCTTCAGTAACCCTAAGTCACTCATGGGTCACAGCAACAAAAGAACTTAATGGGCTACAGAATAAACATCAGCCCAAGACCCAACATATGTTCTGATTTGTTTCACTTTGTCGCGAGAAGGCACAATACAAATGAGGTGATTTAATGACGTCATATGATGACGTGTCTTGATGAGAAGAGAGTATTCTCTTCTTTATAGTATAAGATATAATTATTTATAAAAAAACATAATAAATTGATGTTAAGTCTGTAATACTTTCAATAAGATGATGAAATAGAACCCAAATCCTGAAGATAAGGAAATGTAAAAGAATTGAACTGAAAAAAATGTTTCCAAAAACAATTACGAAATATTATTTATTACACGTCTACAAGATCATAAATCTAATTTTTTTGTACTGTTTTTAGCATATAGAGTAAATAACTATTTATGTAGTAATTTCTATATAATTCAATCAACTCTCGACATATGAAATTGTTTATTTATTCAACCAGGATAATGAGATATTGAGAGAGGAGTGCCTTATATACAGTAGTTATAACCTCTTCTGGCCGCGTAAACAATCAATCGACAGTGCTGCACTAAGGTTATGACATCTCTATGCGACATAAACACAAACGTTAGCTATAAAACTCCATCACTCTCTCTACCCAAAACAACAACTTCTTCTTCACTGCCAATGTTCTCCTGCAAACATGAATGTCGAGAAAGTATCATACAGAAAGTACATCTGATTCTAGAGTGAGCCCAATACTTTCTTCGGCTATTAACATGGCATGGAAGGGTATCCTATCAACTGGACCAGCATGGCTCAAGCAAGTTGGTCTAAAGTAGTATAGATCTGGTTCGAGCCAGGCACACGTATATATATAAATTTGGGAAAATATTGAAGTTTGTTTTTGAGTTCAACTCCACAGAGCTATATTTTGGCACAAAGAAATCGGCTCTTACCCTATTTCCCTCACTCTAATTGACGTCCTATGTATGGACCGTATGGTATTATGAGTTAATGCATTGCATGTCTTTACCATGTCAAGAAGCCTCAAATGATGTAAATCCAATATTCTTGTGCAACCTTCTCTACACCCCTGCCGCTGTTTTAGACTCAGGACTTGCTTTTCCCTGGAATGAATTTGAGAACAGCCATCTCTCACATCCATGTTACAGAACAATGAGAAATAACAGCATGGGAAAGCTTTGCTTTTTTTGGTTAAGAAACAAACCTCAGAGGAGTCTCTACGGATTTTCCTGGTTGGAGTCCTCATAGTGACAAACTCCTCCGCAGCTGTGGGGTGAACACCCACTGTTGCGTCAAAGTCAGCCTTAGTCAGGCCAGCTTTTACTGCAACCCCAAATCCCTGCCAAATTGAAAGAAAATAAAAAATCATTTTGAATCATATATATGACTGCCATGTTTATATTTTCCTAAGAAGATGAACCATGTTGATAGTGAAACCTGGATTATTTCTGGTGAATCATCTCCACACATGTGAACACCGAGAACTTTATTGGTGTTTGCACAGACAATTAGTTTCATAAACACCCTGTCTGGAAGTCCTGAAAGCGTAGCCTTTAGTGGCTTGAAATTTGATGTGAAAACATCGATGTCCCCATATTGTTCTATGGCCTGCAAACACGTCTCTTAACACTTATAAGCAATGACATACACCATAAACCGAATTTTCAACCATATATTCTGCTTACCTGCTCTTCAGTTAGACCAACTGTTCCAATAGGTGGTTGAGAGAAGACAGCGCAGGGAACAGCCCTAGTTGAACAAAGAACACATAAAGGATAATAGCCATCAGAGATAGATAACATTTATATCTTATTACGAGTAGCACATACAACTAAACAGAGAGAGTTCTCACTGATAACTAAAAACTCAAAAGGTCTAGATATCAAAGTTAACACTGGACAAGACTGTCATGTTACCTATGATCAGGCTTTGTTGGTTCATTTTGAAACAAAGTTTTAGCCAATGCACCTCCCTCCATCAAGGCGACTGGAGTCAGATTAATCCGGTCAGTTACATCCCCAACAGCCCATATCGAAGGAACAGATGTCCGTGAATATTCATCAACCTATCCAAACAAAGTGGCAACGTGGAGATAACTTTCAGCAATGCAAAAACCGCCAGCAACCACTACATCAATAGGTAACAGTGGATCGTACCTCTATTGCTCCATTTTTCGCCAATTTTACACCAACATTTTCCAATCCTAAGTTCTGTTATACAAGCCAACATTACATCAATGATAAATCATTATTCTACGATCATTATAACAGATTACATTATAAGTCATAACAAGAGGCTGCAATGTTTAGTTCATCTTAGAAGACATAATACTGTACCTTTGTATTGGGCTTGCGACCAGTTGCAAACATAACATGTGAAAACCCATCAACAGTTCCCTTGCTTGTCTTCAGAGAAAACGAGCCATCTTCAGATTTAATGATAGCTTCAGGAGATTCCTCTGTATGGAACTCAATGCCTCTTAATGACATCTGCTCTCCAACAAAATCCCTAACCTATGAACAAGAATAATAACTAAAATGAGAAAAAATATACCAAAAAAGGATAAACAAAAGCAACCAAAGTTACTCACGTCTTCATCAAATCCCCTCAGCACTTTCTTTTGCCTTATAAACACATGAACTTCACTGTTAAGACCATTAAAGATGCCTGCAAACTCCAGAGCAATGTATCCACCACCAACGATTGCAATCTTCTTGGGTTTGGAAGGCAAATCAAGTGCGGCATCTGAATCTATAGCAAACTCTCTTCCTGGAATGTCAGGAATGAAGGGACGTCCCCCAACTGCAATCAGAATATTTCTCGTAGTATAGATTTTCCCGTCTACATCAACAGTGTGTGGGTCTATAACCTGCATACAATCATAATAAACTCAAAGTCAAAATCCATAGGAGCATATGACAACATGAACTACATGAACTCAGAGATGTAACCTACCTTTCCACGACCTTCGATCAACTTGACATTAGCATTGTTTAGTATATTCTTATAGATACCAGTAAGGCGCTGTAACTCAGCGTTCTTGTTGGCAATCAAAGTACTCCAATCATGAGAAGGGTCAGTATCATACTTCCAACCAAAGCCGTGACTGTCTTCAAACTCGTGAGTGTATTTGGATGCATACACAAGTAACTTCTTTGGCACACATCCTCTAAGTACACACCTGTAGAATATATACCACAACAAATTCACTAATTCATTTTGAAAAAAAAAAAAAAAAGTATTGACCTTTAAATCTAAAACAACTTAGACTGAGACTTCTCTAAACTGCCTAAATGTGAGAATTTTCAAATGTAATTAAGGTTACTAAACAACATCCTCCGCCAACAAATGCTTCAGACTGATCTTGTAGTCTGGTCTAACCATTTTTTAAGTATATGAAGTTGTAGCCACTAAGTCAAGTACTAAGATATTTCTCCCTACACAGTCAATAACTAAAGTGCCTAAACGTGGGAGCTTTCAAATGTATTTAAGGTCACTAACCATCCTCCGACAACAATTGTTCCAGTATTGATCTTGTAGTCTGGTCTAAGTATATAAAGTTTTGATTTTTAAGGTACCATATAGACTTAGAATGAGACTTCTCTACTCAGTCAAAATCTAAAACTACCTAAATGTGGAAGCTTTCAAATATAATTAAGGTTACTAAACATCTTCCGACAACAAATACTCCAGACTGAGTTTGCATTCTGGTCTCTAAGCATATAAAGTTTTCATTTTTAAAGTACCATAGAGACTTCTCTACTCAGTCAAAATCTAAAACTACCTAAATGTGGAAGCTTTCCAATATAATTAAGGTTACTAAACAACATCCTCCGACAACAAATGGTCCAGACAAAGCTTGTAGTCTGGTCTCTAAGCATATAAAGTTTTGATTTTTTAAGTATATATGACGTTGTTGTAGCAGCTAGGAGGAAAGAAGGCTTACGTTCCTCCGACGCCTCCGGCAGTGTCGGAAGAGATGGTGGAGAAAGGGAGCTCGCAGACGGCGGCCGATGCTCCGAAGCTCGTGGCGAAGCGGGAGGCGCGGACGCCGCCGCTTCCTGCGCCGATAGTGAAGAGGTCGAAATCGTAGTGGCGGTCAGAGTCTGCTACGTTGTCGTTTTGAGCACGAGCAGAGAAGCGGCGAGAGGGGTTATAGCGGGGGTTTGAGAGTAAGGTGAGACGGGGACGGAGAGACGAGAGATGGGATAAGGTTTTTGGGAGTGAACGAGAGGGAGAAGAAGATGGTGGATGGATTGAGATTGAGAGAGGGAGTTTTCTGCAGAGGGTTTGAAGAGATGGAGAAGATGAGATTGTAGTAGTCAGCTTCGGTGTGGAAGCCATCTTTTTCGCCTCTCTCTCTCTCTCTCTCTCTCTCTCTCTCTCTCTCTCTCTCTCTCTCTCTCTCTCTCTCTCTCTCTCTCTCTCTCTCTCTCTCTCTCTCTCTCTCT